ATCATCTCATTTTGATCATTTTAATGTATTTTTTATTTCATTTATTATTTTTATTTTAATCCATATCTTTTTATTTTTTATTTTTCCAAATACTGCAAGTAAAATTTATATTTTGTACAATACTTTAGAATAATAAGAATCAGACTAGATAGCTCAGTAGTAATTCGTTAACTCGGTAAAATTATAATCACTCTCTTCTATTAGAATAAATCGTTACTGGCATCAACCTGGTCTAATATATATAGGCCCAATGTAGCAGTTGATCTGTGGCCATATATTATGTTATGAATAATAATTTAGTGTTAATAGTATATTTTTTTAATTATGTGTGAAGAATAATGATTTTTAATAAGGCTTTTTGTATTGCATCGTTAAATTTATTTTGAAAATATTTTTTAACACTCATTTTATGTATTTATATAAACTTTTCTCTTTGTTGATTTTTTTTATGGAAAGATTAATAAGAAAAATAGTTGATAATATGGCTGAAATATATTGGTTTGAAGAACTATAAAAAAATATATATGTATTTGCTATATATATAGTCAGTATATTTTAGTGGGATGAAGAAAGGAGTCCTTTTAATTTCAAAGTCAAAGTCATCAATATATAGTACTTGTAGTTGTGTGTGATTAAAATATATTTAATAATAAATTTCATAATTATTTAATATTTTAATAGTTAATATCATATTTTATTGTTATTGATAATCTTTCCAATTATGTGTAAATTGAAATTTGATAAATCATGGTGTCAAACATTGCATGTAAGGCATGTAGTACGCTGTATAATTATTCCCCCTTTGCTATTATGTCAAGAGATATAGACAGAATTTTATTCCAGAATTTTCTTTCTTTTTTTCTGTTCTGTGGTACCAAACGTTACACATCGTTTTTTTTTTATCAGAGTGGAGAATAAGTTTTTAATAGAGTGGAGAATACGTTTTTAATAGAGAATTTACTTAGAAAGTGTTTATTTTCATAATGAATCCTGCAGAAATAAAGGTATTTATATATGTTTATTATAATATTATAAAATTATACTTTTTTTATTTAATTTATTTATTTATTCCTTACAAATCTTATCTGTATTTTGCTTATAGTGTATGTGTATTTTTTCATATATATTTTTTCATATAAATGTGCAAATATAACTACAATGTACCAAAAATCAGAAAAATAGCAATATATGTATATATAAAGTTTTTTTTTGCTTGGTACCCGACATTTCCTTGTGCAAATCAAATATGGCTGCGGTTAATTTGAGGTTAAGTTTTGTTTTTTTCTTTTGTTTATAAATTTTAACGAATTTTAGTGAATAAAGTAATTTCATTGCAGAAAACTTTTATTAAAGGGAGTTTCTTAATATTAATTAAGATTAAATTTATGAAAAGATGTTTTTGGTGCAGGTGTTCTAGAAACATCTATCGAATTTCTTCCACGTGTTTCACTTATTATTTTTAGTCTTTCAACTCATGTATAGTATTTCGTCTTGATTATTAATTTATATTCATTCGTTCTGCTTATTAGTAACATATAGTTAGATTAAATTAAATAGAGTTGCTAGTAATCGAAATTTTATATATATAGGTGGATCCAAAAAAAAACTCATTTTTATTTAGAACTATATCAACGTTATTGCAATTTGTTGACAAAGTTTTAAATGAAATAAAAATTCATTCCGTAAATTATTATTATGAAAGGTGTATATTGCCGTCGCCTGGTACTTAGACACCTTGGAAATAATGATAGGTGACAAAAACGAACACTGTTTCCAATTTGCAGCTTATTGATGTAAGAGAATTTCAAGTAAATGACATAAAATTGTTTATGTTCAGTGTTGGTAGGTAACAAGGTACATGTGATAGCTCGTCTGGTATAAATAAGATCGCTCAAAGATAGAACCTATTGTGACACTATGATTTATATAGGTATATGTTTATATAGGTAAGCATGAACATATAACTCTTATAAGAGAACCTTATGCTGGACCATGCAACTATTTTGCTTAAATGAAAAAGACGTGGTTCTTAATATCAATGTTATCTTTCTCATCTGACATCGACATCAGACTTTGATACAGGCCCCTAGTCTGTCTTCATGCTTTACAATTAGACATTGTCTCGTCAAGAAAGTTAATGCTAATGTAATGAATAAAAACAGGAAATTTTCTTATTATGAGAGTTATATATATAAATATAGAGAGTTATATATATAAAAGTGTAGATTTATGTAGTCAAAATATATCTCACAATATCACAAAATTTAGTGTTACATTTTATGAATTGATATCCAAGTTATTTAATATCATACAGTTGTCAAAATATATTCGTTATTTTTTTTTAGGAGGAGGTGAAATGCTTTATGCTCTGTTAGACCGACCATCGTCGGAATGGTGTGCCAACTTACTAACATTCATATGTACTTTACGGCTTAAAAACTCCCTCTTCAGCGAGACTTATTCCTACTTTGGAGCCGCTTTCGCATTACTTCGAGGGGGTAGGGTCTCTCTTATGTTAACATTTCAAGCTATGCTCTTGTGATTTTCAGTCTGCGTCCAGACCTTCGCTCTTCACCATATTTTTCTTGGTGTCTGTACTATTTACTAATCTAGTTTCTGATTAAAAGTGTGTTCCTTAATGTAATGAATGTAGTATTAATGAAAGCTAAAGCAGTTAGAATTAATTAATTGACCTAAGAATACAGGATGATGGTTAGTATTAAACTGAGAATGTTTATTCTGTACAGTAATGAAAACAATTTCAGAGTAAACATATTTTTTTATTGATAACACAAAAACGGTGTTTATTAAATATTTAATCTATGTTATATTGTTATTAAACTTTTTAACGTTACATTTTTTTTAATTCTTCAAGGATAAAGTGGCTGTTGCATCTATGCATACTTTTGCTAAAGGCGATACTGTTCTGGCTCTCTTTGAGGATGACGTGTATTATAAGGCTAATATACTAAAAATTGCTAAAGATAAATCGTCTTGTCTAATAAAATACCAAGGTTATAATGGGATTTATCATATCACTATGAATAAAATAAAACGATTATACGTAGACTTCCAAACGCTGTTACTAAGTTGTCACAAAGGAAGAAAGGAAGAGTTTTATTTTCAAAAAGGGGATTATGTATACGCAGCTTATATTGATGGAAAGTATTATCCAGCTAAAATTGTTAAAATATTAAAGAAAACTTGTATAGTTTTATATATCGGATATGTTGATCGATTGTATGAAGTTCCATTCAGCAAAATTAAGTTAAGCATGGAGAATAGACTCATATCCAAGAATAGTAAAACATTAAGCAGTTTTGAATCTAACATCGCCATTCGCAACTCCCCAACTACTACATTGACAGTATCAAGTGATTCCACACAGGGGTATTACAAACCAGGGCAGAAGATACTAGCATATTACAATAATGAAAAGTATCCAGCTAAGATAATTAGCATATCCAAAAATAAAAAAATGTGCCTTATTGAATATAATCACTTCAAGGAAATATATGAAATCGCATTAGAAGATATTGAGCCAATCCAAGAAAAAAAAATCCAAGATATTAAAGAAAAGTCTATAAAATATATAAAAAAAGCTCTCATATCCGGATTCTCAGACAATTTGAAATATATGTAGAGAATATTTGAAAGCGAAAATATAAAGTATTTCTTAAAGCAATAACTATTGTGAGTTTGAGATAATCCATACTCTAATAAAAAAGATGAAAAATTTTAGACAAATAGTTTTAATAAAGCATAGATGAAGATAAATTTGATATTAAACCTAAAACTGGGTAATATCCTTTCATGGTATATTTGTCAGTACAGTCCAATAAACATTATTGGATGTTTACAAATAATAAATCTAGTTGAATAAATTTTATAGTTATACTGATCAAGTTCAAATTAATAAAAACTCCAAAATCAATCTAGATGGAGATGGAGAATCAAATAACATATCATATAAAACCGGTTGGGTAGTCAGAGAGGGATTATGCTATAGATCACTTTCCTTTGACCAAACAAAATGCGTATAATATATTGAACATAAAATATTCATGTGATTCTAGATGACCAGCATTGGCATACTCGGTATGTTGGCCAGTTCTGAGGTGGGGTTCTTGTCAACTATTTATTACAGCTGATATCAAAAAAAAAAAATAAGATAAATTGTGCCATTAATTCTATACATCTATATATATTGTGTAATATCATTAAAAAAAACGGTCCTGTCAATCAGTTTGAATCTTCCTTTCGTATCCTACCTATGAATCGTAATGTGACTCAAAGGTACCTATTTTCCACAGGACTCGAACTTTTGTTAACTGAGAAGCATTTCAATACTTTAAAATCTTCGTTTTTGATTTAACTATGTGAATGTTTTAAATATGTCCAAATAACGTGGTATGACACTGTATACTTTATGTTGTGCTTATAAACATTGTGGTATAATGAATATTACAAACAACAGATGTAGCACGGTACTGCGGTAGTTTACGATATTATAGGTATGCCCAAAAAGATTTCGCATGGTACGATACGGTAAGGTTATGCGATACATACAACTGTTGGAGTAAATGGGATAGATGCAGTACTGTATATTGGGATATTAAATCGTACCTCGACAGTACTATATTTAAAAGTATTGACCGTACGGTACATGTCAGCCATTTTTGATAAGAAAATTTGACAGTTATAATTTAAATATAAAAAGACTGCTCTAAATGGGAAACCGCTTGAAATTGCAGAACTGCGTCTATGAAAAGTTTTTTTTTTAAGATGAACCAATATATATAAAATATTAATTAAAAAAAAATTGATCTCCAGATTATTTAATTACTGTCGACAAATATTTTTTTTCGCTTTTCCCTGATATTAGAAATTACTATAAAAATTGAATTGGCATATCGTGTGAGCCGAGTTACTGCGACACCCGAATTATCGAGAAACCATAACTATTACATTTTTATAATATTTTATTATCATAGTTGAGCTATTAATTTCTTATTACAAAAAAATAATGTTAATAATTGTAGCGACGTGACTTCCAGTCTCGTATTGCACGGCCCATGTTAATTATTGCGCTATATTTACCTGTTAATAAATAAAATAAAAAATATAACAGTATTGATATAATAAAATATATAAAATAATTCTTACAATGATTTTTCCGATATATAAGTTTGATTGACATTGTTTGGCCATCCAGTGTGCGCCCATCGTAAGCACGGATGGCCTTTAACGCATCAGAACGATTCTCAAACATTGCATGGGCTATTCCTAAAAAAAAAATTTCACATTTTGCTAAAAATCGCCTTTATTTATAATATATTTATTACCCAAGCTTGTGCCATCTACATCGTAATGTATACTTGCAGTCATCAACTTTCCATACTCTCCGAACAGTTGATAAATGTCTTCAGTAGAAACGCTCTCAGCCAAATTATAAACCATTATGAGACTATAATTATTTTTAGGCTAAACTCGATGAATAAAGTTGAATAATAAAGGTTAAAAAAATATATATATATAATTTTTTGGTATGGAATTACTTTCTTATAAGCACGTTGGAAGAATCGTTTTCCTGCATGTGAGCGATTCTTTCGACCAAACTTATCCTGCTGACGTCTATAGCGACGGCGATTGTTAACTTTAAATAAGCTTTTGTTCTCCACAATGATCTGCTCCAAAGTTTTATATAAAACCGACTCCCTATTATTTTCAGAAATTGTTTCCTTGAAAATTAACGGTTTTCTCTTTTGTTTAACAATGATTTCGTCTAAACTGTATTCCATGGCGTCCATCCTTGAGTCTAATTGAAGCACTTTATTACAGCTACCAATCGCACAACCGTTCACGGAAACAATCTGAAAGGAACTAAAGTGCTGTATAGTTAAAAACTGATAAGTTGAAGTTCACAATAGATAATGTCATAGATTTCTTCATTTTTGCAGGGGTTCAAGAAGTAATAACTGCACATTATCAAACAGTTTGATGAAAACACTACGTTGCTATAGAGTGTATAAAACTGATACTTTCTGTTTTGCGAATGTAGATGTAATTTGTGACTGACTGTATTATTTCATTTAGTTAAATATAACATATAATATGGTGAGAAAATTTAGTACACTTTTTCAACTTCACCATTATGTTGAGTTACACGTATGTGACACTTTCGATTTCAAGTATTAATGAAGTAATGATTGATAATTGTGTGAACAGGATAGGCATATTATTCAAATTATACTCGTAATAAATTGTTATATTTAACAATAAGTCTAATATGTTT